GTCTCGCGGGAGGTGGTTGCCGGCGCCGGTGTGAGGGGAAGCGCGGGAGCCGTCGCCATGACCTCTGCTTTGGAGAATTACATCAACCGTATCCTTCCGGCGGGCGGAAACGTCCCGGGCAAGCCCTAGGGGCGGCGGGAACGGGAACGGGCCTTCCCTCTCCTTCGCGCCCGCGGGCATGAGGGGAGGCCGGGTGCGGGGGGCCCAGCGGCTCGGTGCGGCGCCCGGCTGCGGGGGCTTGGTGGCTGCAGCGCGGCGCGGGGTTGGGTGCCAGAGCTGCTGCGGGCATCGGGTGCCTCCGGGCCCGGCAAGCTGTGAGCTGCGAGGAGGTGCCGAGCCCTAGGCAGGCTGCTGAAGGGCCTGTGAAAAGCATAGCGGCCGGGGCCTCCGGCCTCCTGCACCCCGCTGCCGCGGGCGGCTGCCTTGCTTGGGTCCTTCCTGGCTGGCTGTGTCGGTTTCCCTTTACGTAAGGCTGGCTTGGCAGGTAGAACAGAGGTTACAGGAGACCCAGAGAATAGGGTCTGCTATAGCCTTCAGTGCTGCAACCCTGATCCTTGCTTGATCTGTGATGAGGAACGAGATTCACAATGGGCCTGGCCCCTTAAAGGGCTCTTAACGTGTTTAGTTAATAGCTTTGCATCATTTGCTCGAAGGCTGTGAGTTAGTGTTCTTGGAACCCTTTTCTAGCTAGTTTTTTGTACTCCTAATAACCTATGGGCATTTTCAATTTTATTCACAGTCAGGTACTAACCCGAAGTCATTTAGGATGTGATCATCAAATCTGACTAGTCAGACTTTCCAAGTGAGGGGATGTAGAATGCCAGACTCGGGATCCCCACTGCTAAGCTGTTTTTTAAGGACTTAGCTTGAAGTGTTTATCAAACTGTTCATGTTCTTTCAATTTTGAGGTAGTGCAGTTAGCAATGGGAAGAGAAGTGCACTCAAATCTTTAGTCTGCTTTTAATGGTATTCATGTTTGTGTATGATTCTCTGTGGTTGGGTAAAGTGAAACTTTAAAACAGATTGTCATAAAAAATACTATGCTGTCAAATGTTACTATCAACCATGCTGGTTTTTTTGTTTTTTTTTTTTTTTTAAAGAAATGCTGATAATCTTTTCTGGCTCTTAATAGCTCTTAAAGCTTATATTACATATCAATGTTTCAGAAAATGCTAATGTGTCTATTTCAGATATCTCTAAACATTTCCTAAATGAACTATCAGGTACTGTTGCAGTAATTACTTCTGATGGAAGAATGATTGTGGTAAGACTTGTATTTTTTTAACATTTTATTTTCCCCCATAAAGACGTTCCATCGCAGCAATAAAGAAACTGTGCTGGGATATTATCACTTATATGTTCACACCTTTACAAACTTTTTTTTAAAGCTTTATGGCTGTTATTTTATACTGTATGATTTAAACATTTACTGGTTCTTGCCTGTCAGCTTTGTCCATTGATAAACTTGTGTGTGCAAATGCTTTGACTTTTTGTCAAATGGCCTTTTCTATAGGAATGTACAAGAAAACGCATTTCTTCTTCTGTTCAGTAATGTGGTTTCCATCTAAAATGTCCTCTTTGTTCAGGAAGCTCTTCAACTTTCATGCTAAAACCGTTTCTTCCTTATGGTTATAGAAAAACATCAGCTGACTATTGCGCTGAAAAATTGTGGGATTCTCTTTAAGCCTAAAAAGCTGAGTATTGGCAAACTATTATATATTAGACTGTATAATGTTTTAGTTTTATTACTTCTGTGTTATCTTTTTTCTTGTATCCTGCCCCCCCCCCAACTTTTATTCGTTTGTGTTTTGAGTTTAACTTAATAGTATGATCATTGCATGAGGATTATATCTTTCTGTCTGTACTTAGTTTTGTGCGGCCTCTGGAAAGAGAAAACAGTACTTTTAGCAGAAAAATCCTAGCTTCACCAAATCTTCTGTCTGGTTGGAGTCAGTCTGGTAAACTTTGTGGTGTGATAAAAGATACTTTCTACCAAAAAGATTTGAATGAAATTGGTATATATGACTCATTGTTACATGGTTAGATGATATAAATGGATATTACTACTCTTTGAATGATGGTATTTTACATGAGTTTAAATTTCCTAATCAATTACTGATGATAAATTACACAAATAATTTATGTTTTCATTTTTCCAAATGCGTATTGAAGTGGCACAGAAATTGTTCTTTGCGGGGGGGGGGGGTGAGTAATTTTGTGGAACCAGGCTAATTTCCTTCAAAGAGATACCATTTAAAACTGCATGTTAAGAACGGCTTCAATATTGTTGACCACAAGAATCCAGTTTTTCTGTTCTTTGGTTTAATTAACTATTTATTTGATTTCTGGAAATAAAAGGAAGACTAAAATAGTGTAGAAATAGTAAAATCACTTGTCTGGAGGGCCATCATTGGTAAAAGGGAAACTTTACTATTAGTGCTAAAGGTTACTGTAGCTTTTAGCATGAATGCTCAGTAGTAAATATAGATGCTACTTCTTAAATTGATTATTGCTTTTAAAGTTTCATTCTCCAGCTGTTTGTGTTTAAGCCTAACAATAAAACCTAAATAGAGTGTCTGTTCTCTAGTACCTTACTATTGCCACCTTGTTTAAGATACCCTTGAGAGCAAGGACAATAAATTTAAAAGGTAATTGGAGTGCTTTATTTTTGTGTGTTTTTCAGGGAACCCTCAAAGGTTTTGATCAGACCATTAACTTGATTTTGGATGAAAGCCATGAACGAGTGTTCAGTTCTTCACAAGGAGTTGAGCAAGTAGTGCTGGGATTATACATTGTAAGGGGTGATAACGTGTAAGTATAGCATATTCTTGGTTAAACCAACTAATAAAAATTTAGTGTGTGTGTGTATACATAGATAATGTATCTGTACACATCTTGATAGCCCCAGACATCTTGCATCTTTGTATTTGTGGGTAGCACTGATAGTACTGTCAAAGTGGAGGCACATTAAATAGCAAATATCTGTGGTGCATTGTAATGTTAAGATATTGTTAGTCTAGATTTACAGTGCTGTAAATTAACCAGCTCATGTACAGATAGCAATCTAGGAGAGGTCAGTATAAAACTCAACATTTTCCTTTCTTGAGTCTAGGCATTGTGTAGATGTTCTTTATTCCAGCCTGTGAAAGGCAGGATCCATTGATGGAGGAACAGAGAAGAATGAACAAAATGTGAGAGAGAACTTGTGTACAAAAAGTCAGCAATCTAGTATACAAAGTTGACTTTTAACAGGATTCTTTTAGATCAGGTTTTCACAGTGAACACTTTATAATCTGGAAAATGCATGAAGGTTCTGGCTTGACAGTGTAAAAACTGTTGAAGCCCATGTAGTGACAGGTCAAACCCATGAGTTGATATTTGCTGTAAAGTGCCCTGACAAAATGAGAGTAAAAGCTCATTAAATACAGAGAAAAGTAGCTGATGTAACCCTCCCATCTGTTTGGTACAAGAGAATTGGAAGGAATGCCTGGTAAGTGGGCCTGCTAGGAAGATGACTTCTGCAGCAGCATTCTGAAACTGATGGCAAAAAATGAGAATTTTTTAACACAACCAGAAAAAGAGCATGTTGCAGGGACCAATGTGTGAACCTGGATAAGAATTTTCATCTTCTAATTCTGATGAATATTGCTGTACAAAGAAATGTCAAGACCTAGATTTATATCTAGGTGTGTTTATCTAATGTCATCAAGAAAGCGGATCATTTTGGAAGGCTTTCATCGCTTTTGACTTAAGCTTTTAAGCAAAAATAAAGATATTGACAACTGTACAAAGATAGGGCTAAGTATCCTACTGTACCAGTAACTTTTCATTCAAATAGTACAAATGTGTATTAAAAGCCAAATAATACTTTCACTTTTTCACTGTACCAGCCTGCCACATTACTCAAATATACTCAAAACATTCTTCTATAGAAACTATTGTATTTTCTTGTAACCTTAACAAACTCAGAAACATATTGATTAGAAGAAATAATCCTGCATTCATGCAACTCTTATCATACAGAAATTCAGCATCATTGTAGGAAGAAGCAAAAAGAAACAACAGCTAAGTAACAGTAACTTCAAAATAGGGGACTCTCAGAAAGTAGAGAAGCTATTGAAAAATAAAATGAAAGAAACAGTCATGGGATAAAGTGCTTCCAGGCATTTCAGTGTGCATCACTAGAAGCATGCAGGGAATATGCAGCATCAATCAGAAGAACTCAGTATGGTTCAACAGCAATTAAAAGGTTGTTAGAAGGAAAAAGAAAACTTTTGTTTTAGAAGTGTGTGATGAATCAGGAAAACAACAAAAAAATAGTAATACTAGAAAGTTATGTGTAAAACTCTTAACGAAAACTGTGAAGGAAAGCTGCTTAAAAACTGCAAACCTCTTAAATACGTGTGTGTGTGTGTTTTGCTGCATGAGAAGCAGGAAGCCTATGAAAGACATCAGGAATGGCAGGTATTTTTTGTTCCTTTTACATCTAGGAGAATGAGATCTCTGATGAAATAAGCTGTATTTCTTGATGTGAACCAAAGAAAAAAATTATGCTTTGATATCATAGACAGTTTTTAATCTAAGGAAGTGTTTTAAATTGAAGTGTCACTTTGGAAAAAGCTAATAAACAGAATAGTAACGAGCATCCAGGATCAAGTTATTTTCATGCAAGAATTCTGGAGGGACCCAAATCTGAAATGAGGTTCCATACTGGTCAGTGCTTTGAATATTAAATTGGCATAAGCAGTTTACATTTTTGTTGTCTAAGCTCCCAACATAGTGAAGATCTAGGCAGTGATGGAACTAAGAAAGCTCTTCAGCAGACCAGATTTCTGTTTCAAGGCAAGTTAAATTCCTCTTTAGTTTCCACTGACTGTCATGGGAACCTAGACACCTGTATTGGGATGTCTTACTCTTAAGCTCAGTCTCGCCCTGGTCTCTGGCTATTTTTTTTTTTAAATACAGATTCACTGGGAAGAAAGAATATTGGGGATTATTAGGAAGAAAACTAAAACAGGAGATATTGTCATGTCATTGCTAAAACACCTGGTATGCCACTATCTTTAGAGGGGTGCAGTATGAAAATGCATGAAGAGCGCAACTGAGAGTAACTAGAGGTATGAAATGTGTTCCGTCAAGGAAAGGCTGAATAAGCAAGTTCTTCAGTTTGGAAAAAGCACAGCTATAGTGGTTATTGGTTGCTGTGAAATCGGGAGTAGTAGAAGGAGATGGGAAGATAATTGCTTCACTTAAATTTCTCTAGTTTTTTTCTGCTGTTGAAAATGGAAGATAATCCAACAACAAGTTATGTATAAAGGTATTACACTGCACACTGTAAAACTTAATTGTGGAACTCACTGCTGTAGGATGTAGCAAACACCAAAAATAGAAGTCTATTCAGAAAGCTATTGGGTGGATTAATATAACATAGCTTGGTGGCTGTTAATTCATTTTGTGGATCAGACACTAGCTCATAAGTCTCTGAAGTGGTGAATAGAAGGGTATGCAGAAGGATTAGCCTCTGTTCTTATGTTCCCTCTGGGTTAGTTCCCATCCTGAGCTAGTATGACTTCTATTACCTTAACCTTCTTTTCTCCTTTAAATCAGTTTTACTGAGTCTACTAGTGTTTTAGTCCAGGTAAGTCTTAACATAGCATAGCTGAAATACTATATATTCTCCCTTGGATAAATTAATAACATTTTACTAGTCTGTGTTGAAGGAAATTGTCTTGCTTATCTGATGCTGTATGCACTTAATTGCTACAGTTAGACATTACTCTTGATAAGCTATTTCTTTCTAAAAGGTTTCCAGTTCTTGTTTCAGAGGCTAACCTACTGCCTAAAACAGACCAGTAGTATTTGGTTCTTACAACCTATATCTTTAAAAACAAACAAACAAAAAACCCCCAGACTTCCTTTAGACTCTACTTATAGCCATCAAAATTTGAAGTTCAAAGGATAAAGCTCTACAATTAAAAAAAAAAAAGTCTTCATTAGCAAGTTAATTTTGTGGCTTTCCAGATTTGCACCAGGGGATTTCAACAAATGATAACCTGTTTTTTATTGCAGTGCTGTCATTGGTGAAATTGATGAAGAGACAGATTCAGCTCTTGACTTGGGGAATATTCGAGCAGAACCTTTAAACTCAGTTGTGCATTGAAAAAATGAAAATGCACAGGGACTTTGTAAATCTTTGGTTGTACAGACCTATTTAACAACGTGGATAATTTTTACAAATTGTGTTTAATTTGTTTAGTCACCAGTTTTTTATTATGAATATGTTGTAGTTTTTGCATGTAAATTAAAGTTTCTACGTTTTACTAAAGATGCTTTCATTGAATTTCCTTTGGAGTTTCATGCTGCATAATTTCACTGTAAAATACATACTGGGAAATACAAGTAATATCAGTGATAGTCCAGATATTGTGTATATGTACCTTGTTCTTAAAATAAGATCTCATTCCTAAAGGTAAACCAAGGCTCTTTGTGTTAACACAAGATTTTTTGGAGGTAGATTGTGTAACAGTCAATTTTAACCATCTCTAAATGTAGTTCTGGCTGTAAGTGGAGAACTGGGTTTTTTTGTGAATTTTTGTTTTGTAGGATAGAAAGCAAGAATGTTAAAAGCTTTCACAGTCAATGACTTGTGCATGTAATAGGGTTTTTTGTTGTTTATCAAACATTGTTCTCTACTTCACAAGACTATACTGGAGGTGCAGGAGTTCTTAGTGCCTTGCAGACAAATTAAATTGGAGAAAGAAAGACTTTTGAGCAGGAACACAGAACCTAAACCAAATATGCACATTTACTTGAAGCCCATTAAATTCCAGACCAACTCATTCTCTAGCTTCTCTTCTCAGCAGCTATCATGTTGCTCAAAATCTATAGAAAGAGAATTGTGTTTGCTAATGTGTCACCATTGTCTTGCTAGAGTGTAGTTTAGAAGACACAGTAGTACTTTAGATAGAGAGATTATTTCTTTTGAATGAAATTTGCCTTAATGTTGAATATAAGGACCATGTGTAACCATAATAGACCACCTCTTATACATCAGCAACAGCCAAGTTAAGTGGGACAAGCTCTGTGCTGTGCAGTGTGTTTTAGGCTACACCCTATTCACTACCCAGCAGAAATATTGGTACAGTGGCAGTGAGAGGAAGTTAGTACCGTTGGACAAAGTTGTTTTTCTTGCCCTCTAGTGTGCCAACAGGTCCAATATTTTTTCCCCATATATGAATGTGCTGTCAAAAGTTATTTTAATGTGCATTTTTTTATATTGATTTTAGTATTAAGTGGGATTTGGTACTTTTCGTTGCAAGTTCACTGTTTGGAAACCAAATACAGTGAACTGAAGATATTTGTTCTCCATGAAATCTGGTGCTTAATTCTTGTAGCTTCTAGCTTGCTTTCTGAGATTGCTCTTGGTGGAGCATGTGAAGCGCAGCAAACCGTTTTTGCCTTTATCCATCTTGTGACCTAGTAAAGTAATGTCTTGTAGTTTTCTGTCCATATTTCTGCAGGGGATTGCTGAGCAGGCATCGAATAAAGCAAATCAGGGGTTTTTGGTGATTACTGAAAGTCAGGAAAGTCTGGCTATAATTCATTATGTCAAAAGAATTGATCAGTTTCATTAAACAGTCAACAAAATCGTGTATAATGAAAAGCCCTTTTGCTACTGAAACACTGATATCAGCACAAGAGAAAAAGTACAGAAAGTTAATTGCATTGATAAAGCAGATTATGTAAATTAGCTATTCTAGGGCTCAGCAGAAAAAAATGCAGAGGCAAAGAGCAGAATCAGGATGAGCTGGTTTTAAATGCACTACTTAGCCTTGGATGTGTTAGGAGAGTTACAATTGAAATACATAGGTTGAATATTTGTAGAAGCACTGGAATGATTAAGAAAATCTGTTGCTTTATAACTGAGGAATTATGTTTGAAGCTGAGTTATGGAATGTTAATGCATATGGAGGCCATCTGCCTCAAGCACATCATTTGCAGTGCAACTCCTTGGTCCTGTGTTTGGTTGAGGACTTAAAATATGATGAGCTGCTGATGTTAGTTGAAACTATTTTCTCTGTCCTTGAAGTGATGATTGCAGATGCAAATCTATGGAACCAAGCTGGTGAAGCTGATCAGTAAAATCCAGGGACTGACCAGATGAGAATTCAGAGTAGTTCAGGAATTGCTGAAGCAGGAAAAACGCGGTCTGGAAAATACTAGTTTCATGCAGTTAGGTGTTTAAAACACAGATTGCGAACCCTGTTGTCTTCCCTTCAGGTGAGTGACCTCAGCTCCTGCACTACTTCTGGATGTGTGAAATTGTGCATGCAGGGTGGGGAGGGGTTACAGCTTAAAGAAGTTAAGATGTGTCTCCACTCACAGGCTGACCTAAACTTAGGGCATTCTCCAAGGGATTGAGAAAAATAAGTTTAAACTCCCTTTCAGAAAAGGATCCTAACAAAAACTGGCTGCACAAAGCCTGAATGGGTTGTCAGATTGATTCTTCTGCAATGAGGTAGGCAAAGGATGGCTGGCTCACAGGTCTGATTGGGATTGTGGGCAGTAACTCAGCCCTGCCAAGATGGAGCCTACTTGGAAGCAAAGTTCTAAGACCTTAAAACTGGCAGCTCTGGAGTTTGCTTAACCTTCATGCTTAGACAGCAGCAATGTAAAGCTTTTCAGACTTGGGATTTTTGGCTTACACTCAAATTTTGTTTCAGTTTCTGCACCAAATTTTGCTTCAATTTGATGCCATTGGTTTTGGTCTGGTTTTGACCAAAGCCTCTTCTGGATGTACTGGTGAAGGGATCAAAGCCAGGAGACCCAGTCAGAAGGTGTTTCTTGAAATTGAATCTAGGGCCTGATATGCTTTTAAAAATTATAAGATGAAATTACAGCCTTGTGAATTTATAGGAGCTCTAATCCATAGTGGATAACTAGGTTCCTGTAAGTATATGGTGGAGAGAAAGCACTCAGGAAAACAGTATTTCATGCAGGAAGTTCAATTATAACCAGTCTGAAACAGTATTTTTATTGAATCAAACCTGTAGTGCAGTCCAGCTGAAAAACAGATCACCAATGAAAGCTAATAATTTTTTTATATCAATTAATTTCATAAAATGAAGAAAAGCGGCAAAAATAAATGGGATTGAAACCAAAAAGTGGACATGGAGTGATGGCCTTGTATTAGTGGTTCTAAAAAAGAAAGCTAGAGAATGTTACTCCCCAGAGGAGGAGGAGTCTAGGGTGGAAGCTCAGCAAGTGTGAAGGTTGTATATGTATCTTGACTCCAGGTGAAGCCACACTGCAGCTAGTGTAACAGAAGTGTTGAAAGTAGTAAAGAGGTAAAACATAAAGGAAATTAAGTGGAGTTGAATTTTTGAGAGGAAAAGTTACCTCCCCAGATGCTGAGGAGGTATGAAAAAGGACTGGAATGGAAAAAGAGCACCACAGATCATTATTGTGTGTTGAGCAGGGGTATGCCAGTTGGTATGTGCCAGCTGGCTGGGGCAAAGGTTCTCCTTGCTGTTTCCCACAGATTGTAGAGAGGTAGCAAGGCAAATGTCTCCTAGGAGATGAGGAGTAGTATTGTCTGCAAAAAGCCTTTGCTTTATTTTTGCTGGAGGGAAAAGTAATCTCAACAACAAAAAAAGTAGCTCCCTTCTCGGATTTGAAGGCACCCCCAGTGAGTTCTGACCGCTGTGGCCATATGACTGTCAGTGTGTTCCTTGGGGTATGTGAAGAGCTGTGCTGAGGTAGGAAAAAGGGGTCTACTGTAGTCCAGTGTTCTTGGAAACTGTCTTTTCCTGCAAAGAGCCTAGTTTAAAGATCCAATAAGTAACAGGTGATGTTCAGTAAAATCCAATGAGTCCTTGCAGAGTAATAAACCAATGTTACAAAAATGAGCAGGGCAGAGAAAGGTGATGTTAAGGACAAAAGGAAGTAACACTGAATTGGAGGTAATCATCTTATTCCATTAAGTTTCCTGCATTGCCCTAGGTAGGTCACTTCCTCCTTTTGTTTATTTAATAGAGATCTTGGAATGAAAGGACAAGTCTTGACTACTACTGGAAAAGGATGCCTCCAGTGAAATGACTGAGCTGGCTTATAGAGAGATTAATTAAATTCATTTGGTGTGCATGAAGCAGCGGAGAAGCCATCTTCTGCGGTCCAAGGGCAACTTGCCTAATTGCAGTCTACATGAAGTGCCTCCATGTCCACTTCACATACTTGCAATCAATGTTCTTCAAATATTACATGGCCTACAGGCAGGTTACTGGATTGAAAGAACATGGATTCTGTTTTGAGGACTTCGACAGTGGAGAATTGCTATATGAGACAACCTTTGCTATCAACTATAGCCTGTTATACTTAGTCCCTGGAGTTAGTGTCTATTCTTCAATCCATTTTAGAAGGAAAGCAGCTGAGAGACATACTACACACACTGTGCTAGAGCTGAAGATAAAGTACGGATGGTTTGTATGATAGATCTACCTCATGGCCATTGCCATACTACTTTCATAGCAAATGTACCATATCTGTATGCTTGAGTAGGTGCTTTGTACCCATGGTAACATAATTCTACCTCTTAGCTTCTGCTGCATGAAGCTGCACTTGCTAAGAATTCTATTCTGCAAATTCATACAGAAATGATCCTAAATGCCAGTTGTGTTCTCCATGCATTGGTAAGAAGGGATTTAATTTGTTCCACAGTCAACATGACAAATACCAAGCCATGAGCTGTTGTTCCTTTAGGAATTAAATGACAACGACCATGAAGGCTCTTCTCAAGAAGGTAGGAGCCTCAGTTGAAGAGAGTTCAAAGCTAGGAATGTGAGTCATGCCAGTGAAACATCAAGGTGGTTTGTGCTTGCTAGTTATATTTGGTCTGTGGTACATTTTGGCACCTGTGTATGCAACTCTACTGAGTTTTACTAATTGTGTTCTTATTTCTGCTTTCTAGTTGGGGAAACTGCAGCTTATTGATTAGAATAATGAAAATAAGTCTGGATTTTTTAAGTGGAAGAGTTCTTTGGTCACAGTAAAGATCCAGAAAAACTATGTCATATCAGTTAGTCTTAGCTTCCCTGTTGCTTAAACAATAAGGCATACTTCAAGTATCAGGTATTCATAGACAAAAAACCACAAAACCCAGATGTGCCAGAAGGTGAGATCTGTACAGACCAAGCCTTGAGGTGAGGGAGGGAAGGCTTGTACCAGGCTTAGGTTAAAAACATGACAGAAGATAGTAGAGGCAGGCATTTGTCCTGGAAATCCTGTTCCCCGTTGCCTCTTCCAGTGTGCTATATTCTGTCTTTGGGGCCC